AAAAGTAAATAAAATTAAAATGGCAACTTAGGGAAATATTTATTTTATTTATGAGAGAAAAATTATTATGGTCCTTGATGTAGAAAGAGCGTTTAAAATCATAAGAAAATAAACATTTCAATATAAAAATAGGAAAAGACTCATAACAGTTTGCACATACCACAAAATAATTTTCTAATTTTTATTTAACTCTTTATAGAATTTATTTATTTATTTATTTTACTCGACACTTTGTGATATTGAAGGAATTCAAACTTTTTAAATACTTCTGTTTAGACGGGTTAAAGTGCACACAGCAAACATTTCAGGGGAAAATGAATGTACTGCATCTTTCCTGTAAGTCATTCTTCGTCTCTCTTTCATCTGTATTATTTTATTTGTTAAAATACATGGCCTGGAAGTCACAAGGGGTTTTCTGAGCTTGATTCATTACCTAATATTTATAAGATTTTACCAAATCATTTAGAATCTCTGAATCTCATGGACAAAGCTTGAGTGTTAATAGAGCAAAAATGTCCTCAATAAATTGTAGTGTCTGGAACATGAGAATTTTGGTGACTAAATAAATAAATAAAGAATGGCTAGATGGATTAATGAATGAATTAACCATAGAGTAGTATCTCCTTTAAAACAAGGGCAAATTTTTATTTGTGGTCTCCAGTTAGGGTTGTCAAACCAGCATCATCATCATCTGGGAACTTGTTTGAATAGCAAATTCTGAGGCTCCACCCTAAACCAACTGAACTGAAACACCAGGGACTGAGGCCCAGCAATCTGTTAATCAAGCTTTCCAAACAATTCTGACGCATGCTAAAATATAAGAATCTCTTTCTTAGGTTGTTTTCCATTAGTATATGCTGACTGGTATTTGAAGAGTTCATTGATAATGTGGTTGCTGGGTAACCCATGCACATCTGAAATTAGTAACATATGCAAAAGTTTGCAAACTGCATTCCAAAAGTATTTATGTTGTCTGAGGCATGTAGTTAGCGTTTGGACATTCCACAAAAAGAATATAAATATCTGAAGAGGTTTCCCTGGTTTTCTACACAGCAAGAATGTGCTGGACCTCAGCCTCTCCAGCATCATCACATTATTCTCCTAATGTAGAGACCATATATTCGTTTATTATCTGCTTAGGTGGTTGTTTTTCTTAATCTCAAGCTGTTTCATGAAAAGCCTATAAATGTATAATTGACTCACATTTCCAGTTTTCCTGAGACATCAGTTTTTATCCTTTGTCCCTACATAATTATTTATAGCACCCTGTTATTTCCAAAGTGTCTTGGTTCAAACCAGCAATTCTCACCCGGTGTGCCACAGCACACTGGGGCGCCACAAGAATTTTTAAAACATGCAGTACCCGGCTAGGCAGTCAGGAGCACTTACCTTTTTCCTCTTAGACTGTCAAATAAAAACATGATAACAGTCAACACAACAATAGCCATTTGGTGTGAATGAATCAAAATTACACCTGCTTTTGTTGTTGTCAGACCGGCAAAAAATATATTTTTTGGTGTGTTGAAGAGTTTTAGTGATTAGTTTACGAGCACCATGAGATGAAAAAGGTTGAAACTTGCTTGTTTAGATGATAAATTTTAAGTCACCCTGTTCATAGCAATTTGCTTTTGCAACTCTAGGCTCACATCAACCCTTATCAAAGTTAATATTGAAGGCCCTCCAATAAGAAATGAAAGTAAGTGAGAGAGGAAAAGGGACAAGTTTAAGGACAGGGCCCAACTCAACTATTCTGATAATACAAGTTCTTTAAAAAATATTTTTTTAAATTACAGTTTACATTCAATATTATTCTGTGTTAGTTTCAGGTGTACAGCATAGTGGTTAGACAATCATATACTTTACAAAGTGTTTCCTCTGATATTTCCAGTATCCAACTGGCACCATAGATAGTTATTACACTATTGTTGGCTATATTTTCTGTGCTATAATAAAATGTCTTTAAAGTATTATACTTTGCCTAAAAATTTATGTAAAAGTTTATTAAACTTCTAATAGTTTCAGTTTTCTTCCAAACCACTAATTTGTTTTGCAGCAATTTTTCCATGAAAAAAATTAGGTTTGCATTACAGCAGTTTCTTGAGATTTTTTTCTTTTAAAAAAAATAAAAGGTCAGTAAGTGTATTTTCTAAAGACCAATTTATTGTTTCAGAGATTTATTCTTTGTTGAAACATTATTTTTCTACATGGAAAAAAAGAGAAAATTCAACCCAAATAAAGAAATCTTACCAAGTTAATATCAGTGTAGTAAAGTAGGTGTCCAATGCTTTTCTCACTAAAAAAACAGGAAGGAGCCCTGGCAGGTTTGGCTCAGCACTTGGAGCATTGGCCTGCGGACCAGAGAGTCCCGGGTTCTGTTCCCGCTAGGGGCACATACCAAAAACAAAAACAAAAACAAACACAAACAAACAAACAAAACCAGGAAGGAGCTAGTCTGTGGAGCCTACCCAGGAGGAGGGGACTGTCAATCCCCTCCTCTCTTTCACTTCCCATTGCAACCAATCAAGGATGTCGGTACTGTTAAAAAAAATTACAATCCTTTTTACCGTGTATTTCTTTTCAACACATCTGTTAATCACACGGAGAAGGACAACATTGAGAAGCAGGCCATGCAATGGAAATTGGCGCAGTGAGAATGCTGCTTTGATGAAAATTCCCAATCACAGTGTTTGGTTTCCCTGCAAAATCTTTTCATTAGGTCCTTGCATATGTACACATACATTTATCACTGTTTACCTTTTTTATGAGAACAACTAAGCAAACAAGAATAACAAAGGCCTAATTATTGTATGGAAAATTCCTTTATTAATGCTTCCTTACCCTTCATATATTTGACACAACAGACTAACCTAAGTGACACACATTCCTCTTTGCTGCCCCAACAACCTGACCTAAGTGTACAACATGGGGTCTCACCATTTTATCCCTTATTATTCTGTGATGCATAAACTCATATTACAAGATGATTTTAAAGCTGACTTCAACTAAGACAAACCAGTTTTGATATTTTTGTTAGAATTTTTTTTTCTTGTGGAGACACAGAGAGGTTGAACTTGAGTTTGGGATTTAAAGCTCAGGGGTCTGTTCTACAGTCCACCCTCTTGCCCATTAAAGCTCTCCCAGTTTCAGTGTGCCTGCTGCTGTTTTGCATAGCTTTACTAATGGTGGCTGGGATAGTGCCCCCGCCTCTTTCACTGATAAGTTTATTTAAGAAAAACTGAGATCGAATTGCACAGGTCTCCAAACTCTGCCTGGTTTCAGGTTGTCTAGATGTCCATTATTATCTTGCCTATTTCAATGGATTTTTATTTATTTTATTTATTTTTTTAATCCTCACCTGAAGAGATTCTTCCATTTTATCTTCAGGTAGAGTAGGAGGGAGGAGGAGAGAGAGAGAAAGAGGGAGAGAAAAGGAGAGAAAGAAATATTGACGTGAGAAGGACACATCGACAGATTGCCTCCCGCACAACCCCAACCAGGGCAGACAACGAACCCACAATGAAGTACATGCCCTTGACCAGAATCGAACCCACGACTCATTGGTCCGCGGGCCGATGCTCTAACCACTGAGCAAAACCGGCCAAGGCTCAATGGATTTTTAAACAAACACTAATAGCAGATCTGTACCTGTAATTGAAAATATAATTTCCCGAACTTTTGTTTTCAGTGTTGGTAGGACTGTGTTCACTCTGTATCTTTGAAACATGTCATTTGATTGCATGGTTAGCAGGTAGGGGAGGTGTTTTGTGGGAGCCAATATATTTATGTGTAATCAAAAGAAAGAAAATACATTAAAGAGTCACACAATCGTACAAAAAATGAACAAACTAGCTTAGATAATATCTCAGAAAAACCATATGTTCCAGATCCTCAAAGAGAGCCAAATTGAGTTAATGTGATAGGTCTCTATGCTCTCCAGATGCGCATAGCAGATGCACCCAGGATTATGGTTCCCTATAATTGCAAAAAAATACAGTTAAACCCGGTGCTAATAAATACTTTTTCATTGTGTTCCCTCACACACATGCTTGTACCTTCCACATAAATTAAACACTGGCTGAAAAAAATTAGAAATCTGTTGGTAAAGGCAAAGTCTTTTAGAAACACAGATATGCTTTTAAAATTTCTTTACAAATCTGTAAGTAAAATGGAAGATACGAAAGAATGTGCTAGTTATATTCTGAGCTTTTTTATTTCCCCAAGCCTACATCAGTATAATTGCCAGGGCAAGGGGTTGGTGGTTGTAGCTGTATTTAAGTTTGAGATAAATGCCCTTAGCAAAAGAATTGATACCAGAAACTAGACCATAAAAGAATCCAATAGGGTGGTTGAGATAGTGGGCCTGGAGGGTAGGCGTATATTTCTACATTTTACTCCTTCATACACAAGCTTCTTGCTCCTTCCTTCTCTATGTATGTGTGACACACACACACACACACACACAAAGGCTAAGAGGTTGTAGAAAATAATTATAGAGACAGAAAGCAAGTACATTCTGAAACCATTAGTTTCAGCCTCTTTGTTTCTGTTGCCAAAATTGTTACTTCATCTTCAGCATATGTTTGCTCTTTTCATGATATTGGGAACTCATGCTTCCTGCAGATGAAAACACACACACACACACACACACACACACACATACACACAACCATCACGACTTTTCTCAGCCTCTGAAGCCTGAGGAACCTTCAAATCTACGCAATCTCTGACTTTGCTCACTGCTGGCCACCACCCTGCTCCATTTCCTTCTCAGTGCTTCCTGGCTTTGCCAGCTGTTGAAACAGCAGGCCTTGCCTCTCTGTGTGTATATAAGCATGTGGTTCAAATTTTTATATCTTAACTGCCTGTAAAGTCACTGACTACTACATTCAGATTATATCCTGAAACTTACTTTTCCCCTCCGGGGGCTCCCTAGCCCTGCCCTTTCTGGACTACCACCAGCTCCCAGGGTTCCTTGCAACAGCGGCACCACTGACCGACAATGAAAACCACAAAAGAGGATTAAATGGTGAGGTAAAGTTTGCTATTAAAATCTCTCTTCTTTAAGGTTTTGTCTTGCATCCACAAAAGCTCTTCGAATCATTTCTGTTCTGAACATGCTTGTAATTCAAATGTTTTTGGCCATATTTTATTTTTTCCACAGGAAACTCAGTTATTATTGACGCTGTGCAGAATTTCTCAGGTTTTCAGCAATCACTTTTCTTTCTCTGGGTTCAGTGGGACTCTTCGGAAGCATGCCATGATTGTCTTCTCATGAAACACGGAGCCTCGTCAGGGAAAAGGGAATCCTCTTTGAATCCTCACTTCTCTCCTCTCATTTTCCCTCCACCCCTACACACACACACACACACACACACACACACACACATGCATACACTTTCCAGTTATTAAATATGTTGTTTATTTTATTTACTTCAGTAGCTGGGGTCCGATACCCAAATAAAGCTAGATTTTGTATAGGGTTGGACAAATGGAGGAAATATTATTTTCTCATTAAAAGAACCATTCGGTTTTGAAGTAGATGACTCAGTTTATCCTAAGAGGTTTTTCATTTATTTTATTAATCTTTTTTAAAAGAAAATTTTAGACATTTTCATTTTCAGCCTATGGCTCAACTTAAATAAGAAGACTTGCTGAGTTATACAGACTACAATATATGACCACATAAAATTGTTACTCTCTGATAGGATGTAAATAATTTTTTTGAACTAACTTTATATTTGAAAGTAAATATCCTTCAAGATCCATCTTCCAATGTAGCTGGCTCAATGAGATTAGTTATCTTATGTTTTCTAGTCCTACCCCCAGGACCCATCTCCCCATGTAATTCTGAACTCATCATCATCCACTAGTCACAGTGAAGCAATGTTAATTCAGGACTAATCCTCCTAGGTTTCTAAATAGGTTCCACCCACATCCCAGATGTGACCAACGTGTATGCAGAGCAGCTGCCTTATTTTCATCTTGTTACTCATACCATTCTTCACTGACACTTTTGCAACATGAAGAATTTATGTTTTTTTGTCTGGGGGAAGTTTGCTTTGTCAAAGGAAGATTTCCTTATAAACTATAAACCTCTTATTTGAATAAGATAACTCATGAACATGTGTTGACTCTGGGTCAAGCCCACCCATAGTAGATTTGCATTATGACCAAGTGAGCAGAGCTGGGAAAACTGAAGTCTGTTTCTGGGTTGCTACTAACTTGCTTTGTGTCTTTAAGCAGACTGCGTACCTATATTTGATATGTTTGAAAAGTTGAGATAGGAAACATATAATCATTCCCAAAATGATCTTCTCAAGATGAAAACTACAATGTCTGAAAAAAAATGCATTGGGTGGGATTAGCATCAGGGTACACATTGCGGAAGAGAAGGTTAGTGAACATAAAGGCATAGCAATAGATGTATCCAAATTGAAACACAAAGAGAGAAAAATATTTTTTTAAATGAATAGGACATCAGTGAGCTGTGAAAAATTTCATGGTGCCTGGAGTCTCAGAAGGAAGAAGAAGAGACAGGAAAAAAAAAATATTTGAAGAAATAAATATTTTGCCCTGGCCAGTTTGGCTCAGCAGTTACAGCGTTGGCCTGTGGTCCAGAGAGATCTGGGTTTGGTTCCCGCTAAGGGCATGTACCTCGGTTGCAGTTTGTCCCCAGCCCTGGTTGGGTCATGCAGGTGGCAGCCACTCTATGTGTCCCTTTCACGTCGGTGTTTCTCTCTCTCTCCCTCCTGCTCTATCTGAACACAAAATGGGAAAATGTTATCGGGTAAGGAAGAAAAAAAGAAAGAAGGAAGGAAGGAAGGAAGGAAGGAAGGAAGGAAGGAAGGAAGGAAGGAAGGAAGGAAGGAAGATTTTTTTATTTCTAAGAAGTTTGATAAACCTGAAGAGCTCACATGTGTGCACCCACACACCCATGAAAAGAACCACACCAAGGCACAACATAATCCAATCACTCAAAACCAGTGATAAAGAAAAATAATCTCACAAACAGACAGATAAAACAGATGCATTATGTATTATGTACAGAAAAAAAAAATGGTAAGAAAAAAAAAAGATTTCTATAAGGAAAAATTAGGTAAACCAACGTGTAATTATGAGTGATAGATATATTTTGCATTATGTCCACATACTATTTAACATGCTTCTGTGAAACGTGATTTTTTAAATTCAAAGTAAGATATGCAGTTCCATTTCTTTTCAACCCACCAAAGACCTTTGTTCTGCTTGTCACTGAGCCAGTTGCTGCTCTTGCAATCTCCAGCTTTATACCCACAAAATGCCCTTTGTATTTAGAGTTCTGTGTGCTCAGTGTGTTAGAGGAGAGTTTTACTTTGTGTCACATTGCAGTGTCTTAAGAATAACCTTAGTTGCTTAGCTTCTGATTTTTATCTTCTTTATTTGTCCAGGGCTTGTTTTCAGTAAATATTCTGTTAAGAATTTGTACAATCTGGTACAAAAATGATTTCCCCCAAAGACGTCCTGAGAAAAAATTTGAAGATGGTTCGTGGCTATCCCATGATCTACGCTTTTGTGGACAACTGGGAGAGGATTGAACAGTTCCAGAGCAGGCCAGATGACATTGTGATAGCCACTTACCCCAAATCAGGTGAGTTTTGTGGCCTGACTCGAACCTTTGTTTTCTGAAAATCAGCTTCTCCATAAAATCAATATCATGCTAAATAAAATTAAGATTCTCATCAGTCGGTCTAGCTATCTACTCCAAGTATATTGAAATGGGCATTTGGGGCACAGAAAAGGGAACTGCAGAATTAAATTCCTAATAGCATACATTAGGATGGCAGGTTTCCAACAGGTACTTTTCCCCTCAGATTTGGGTGATGGTTTTAAAAAGTGTTGCCTTTTACCACAGGTACCACTTGGATAAGTGAAATTGTGGACATGATTTTAAATGATGGAGATATCGAAAAATGTAAGCGAGATTTTATAACTGTGAAAGTTCCAATGTTGGAAATGGCTGCCCCTGGACTAAGAACTCCAGGTAATTTTAAACCATTTGGGAATTATAATTTTATAATATTATTTATCTACTATATTAATTATTGTATTTATGATTTTCATTAAAAAATGGAGTAAATTTGGCAACATAAAATGAAAGTTTGAAAGCAATACAATAACCAAGGCATGTAGAGACAGTGCAGTTTTAGTCTATGACATATTCAGGTATGATAACAAAAACGAATGAGTTTTGTTTTAGGAAACAATTAAAAATTTGGTTGATGACATAAACAATGTTTCTTATCTTTTATTGACTTTTGTTGTATAGAATTTGGCAGATTAGAGCAATACGCTCCTAATTTAGGACTTTACTGTAGTTAATTAAGAAATATCAATGCCGCCCTGGCCGGTTTGGCTCAGCGGTTAGAGTGTTGGCCTGCGGTCCTGAGAGACCCGGGTTCGGTTCCCGCTAAGGGCATGTACCTCGGTTGCAGTTTGTCCCCGGCCCTGGTTGGTCGTGCGGGTGGCAGCCACTTGATGTGTCCCTTTCACATCGATGTTTCCCTCTCTCTCTCTCTTTCTCTCTCTCCCTTCCACTCTGTCTGTACAAAAAATGGAAAAATGTCCTCAGATGAGGATTAAAAAAAAAAAGAAATATCAATGCCTTTTAGAAAATAAACTTTATTATTAATACAATTTATTTTTTATTTCATAAATATTTATTGAGTGCTTCTAAAGAAGTCTGTACTGTTCTGTGGGTTACATACAAAATGATTAGTAAATTTGATGTCCTAATAAACTACCAATATGTGCATATTATTGGTCTTAGGTATCCAAAGAACAGGGCTCTATGAAAGAGACCAACAGGAGAGTTCACTTTAGATTGGATAACTAGAGATATGTCTCCTGAATAGAGACCTAAAACCATGCACATAGTTGGAGAAAGCATATTTTAGGAAGGTGAAGTATTAATTATAAAGATTTAGATACAGAAAAGGCATTGGCATAATCCTAGGACTAAAAAACAGCTACAACAACAACAATGAAAGAAGGGATGAATGAGATGCAAAATCTTTGGAGGTGTGACAGAGACAGATCATGTAGGGCTTGTAATTTTTAAGAAAAAGTGAACTAAGAGAGAATCAGAAGTATGGTGTTCTCTAGGCAAGTGAGAAATTAAGAAGTGAGGTCCAACTCTCCTATGCTGCTAGAAACCTGGAATAAGTGTGGTGGTGAAATTGTATATCAATTTAAAGAACTGAATCCAAACTCCCTCCCCTACTGAGCTAGTTTCTTACATAAGCAGAGATGGTCCAACTGGGAGTGTGTCATTCCCCCTGTGTGGTTGCCTGAAGTCAGAGAGCAAATGCTAAAGCTTGGAACGAAAGGATTATTCTGGGACAAGCAACCAAAGTGAGTGCTAGAGTGACTTAAGACGTCAGGCCCATAGAGAAGTATGGAATAAATATGTGGTAGAATCAAAGTAGTCAGGGATAGAGGAGTCGGGAATATTGTTGGGAGATGGGGATTGGAGGTGGTTAGTGAGCCTTCGCAGCACTGCCAGACAGTGAGTAGGTGAGGCCCACCAGGTAAAGGAGGATAAACTGGCACGCAGATTTACTCTGGAGCCTGAATGGGAATACTTCTGTCATCATATATTCCCAACATTTATATTTGTGCATGTAGAGGGTCCGGCTAAAGGATCTCAATGGCAAAACAATCACAAGACAGAAGAAAGAGGTTGAGAAATCTTTCAGTGAAGTTGGTGGTGGAGGGGGACAACAATGTGGGAAAAACTTCATGGGAAGGAACAGACACAATGTCATGGCATTGAGGAATAGTGAGTCGTGGAAGATTCTGATCTCATTTCTCTATGCTAAGTAAAGAGGTTGTAACAACCAGGTTAGTAGAAGTATAATGACATTGTGGGATTTTATAGTGTATAATTAACTTTCCATATAAAATTTAGGATACTCAATTAAATTTGAAATTCAGATAGATATTTTATTTAATATAAATATATCCCAAATATTACATGGGAGATAACTTACACTAAAATGTATCTGTTGTTAATCTGAAATTCAAATTTAACTGGAATTTTTGCATCTTTATTTTCTAAATCTGCCAACCCTATGTCCCTATCTTCCTTGATATTAAGGGGTTCTTCTTAATTCAACCACATGTTATGCACTACTTCCTACAGAGAACTTGTTGGTGAACAAAACAAACATAATCCCTGCTTTATGGAGCCTCCATTCTAATGTGTGTGATTGGGGGCAGGGACAAGGAAGACACATGGGAACTGACAATAAACAAATAGGTTAATAAATGATGAAACAAAAATAAATGCTATATAGAACATTATAAAAGAATGTTTTAATAGAGAGACACTGAGTGACTTCTTAGCATCTGCAATAAAATTTCAACAGTTGAAGCTTAGGATTGCTTTGAATTGAGAGAGTCAGGTAAAGTTTTGGGCAGGTGTGTGTTCATATGCAAAAGGTGGGAAGATAATGTAGGATTAATGGGTAATCTAGAGGTTGAACTGGATATAAGTAATATTGTGAAAAATATGTAGAGGACTTTAAAATTTACTGGATGTGGAACCTAAAAGAGGAGACAACAATAAAAGAGATCTTGGTGACTCTCTAGGAAATGACATTTTTTTTTTTTTTTTTTTATCCTCACCCGAGGACATTTTTTCATTTTTTGTTCAGGTAGAGTGGGAGAGAGAGGAACAGAGAGAGAGAGAAACATCGATGTGAAAGGAACACATCGAGTGGCTGCCACCCGCACAACCGACCAGGGCCGGGGACAAACTGCAACCGAGGTACGTGCCCTTAGCGGGAACCGAACCCGGGTCTCTCAGGACCGCAGGCTGACGCTCTAACCGCTGAGCCAAACCGGCCAGGGCGGAAATGACATTTTTAACAGCTCTCTCTGGGATGTGAAAGCTCTTCTTAGCACAGCTCTTCCTAGCCCATGTCACAAATTTTCTGAGTATGCCTATACTCCACAAGTGCCTTCAGACTGGCCAAGTCACTTACGTAGTGAGATTCTCCTGACTCTAAACATAGAAAATAAATGGATACTTTTTGCTTCAGAGAAAAGTTTATATATTCCTTATGTAAAGACTTAATGTGAAATCAAGTTCTACCACATATTAGTCGTATGACTTCGTGAGGTCAGCAAATACTCAAAAGTTGCACAACATTTTCATTTTGCATATACATATGACACATAAAGGAAGTAATAAAGATGCAGACACAACATCTGATGCTACACAGAAATGACATCATCTGTACTGTAATAGCTGATGCAAAACAGTAATTGATGTGAGACTTACTCAGTAGTGATATCTCTTTGACATAGAGAAAACATTTTCATAATTATTTATAATACGCACAGGTACAATACAACCAAAGTGTTAAGGTTGGTTTTATTACTCCTCATTTTGGAGGTGAAGAAAATGAAGCATAGACAGTGAGATATATGCTTTTTTAACTTAACTTAATTTTTTCCAACACTTTTTATCCCCTCTATGCCCTCTCCCACTTCCACCCACCCCGCTACACACCCTCGATCACCACACTGTTGTCCACGTCCATGAGTTCTCTCTCTCTCTTTTCTTTTTTGCTCAATCCTTCCACCCTCTCAACTCCCCTCCCTGCCACCCCGCCACAAGCTGTCTGCCTGCTCTTTAGCTATGAAAGACTGGGATACTTTCAAATGTTTTACAGTGTAAGTGACAGAGTTAGAATTTGAATCCAAGGAGGTAACCTCATAACCTATGCCCTTAACCATCATACAATATTGCCTCTTAGAATTCAGGTAACTAATGTAAATGATTAGTTCAAAATTTAGTAGCATTATATACTATTCAAAGATATTTTGGCCTTGGTCACTGTGGTTCAACAGTTACAGCATGGGCCCTGCACACAGAAGGGTATCAGGTTAAATCCCAACCCCAGCAGGAAGCAACCAATTAATTTGTCTCTCTCATATTGATGTTTTTCTCTCTCTCTCCTCCTTTATCTTCCACTCTGTCTAAAATAAAATCAATGGAAAAAATATTGTTGGATGTGGATTAACAAAAAACAAAAAAACAAACAAAAAATATTTTCAAAGTTTAGTTGAGAAAAATCAGGAAATGCAGACTCCTTTAATATCTCTATATACCAAACTAAATTTTCCCAGGTACAGAACAATTAGAGAAGAATCCATCACCTCGGCTTGTGAAGACACATCTACCAATTGATCTCCTTCCTACATCTTTTTGGAAGAACAAGTGCAAGGTACACTGTAGACTTTAATGTGACTCACTCACATGGTAAATGATTGCCCAGATGTTTTATTTATTTGTTACCTTGACAACTGAGCTACATAAGAGTTTCAATGAAAGTGTTTCAAATAATTTTTTATCCTCACCTGAGGATGCTTTTTATTGATTTTAGAGAGAAAGAAAGAGAAGAGAGAGAGAGAGAGAGAGAGAGAGAGAGAGAGAGATGGATTTGTTGTTCCACTTATTTATGCATCCATTGGTTGATATTTTTGTATGTGCCCTGACCAGATATCAAACCCAAAGCCTTGGCATAGCAGGACAATGCTCTAACCAACTGAGTACCCGACCATGGCAGAGTATGTTTAGTTTTATAAGAAACTGCCAAAGTGCCTTTCAAATAGCAGAGTCATTCTGCATTCCCACCAGCAATGAATGAAGTTCTTGTTTCTCCACATCCTCAGCAGGATTCGGAGTTGCCTGAGTCTGGACTTGGGTCATTGTTATAGTTACTGTGGAGTGGCGTCTCATTGTTTTACGTTGCAGTTTCCTGATGACATATGATAGGGGGCATTTTTTTTTAAACTCTTATTTGTACCTTCTCTCTTTTATGTTGTCAGTCTTGCTAGCTGTTTGACAATTTTATTGATTTTTTTTTTTAAAAGCCAACTTTTTGAGCAATTTTCTGTAACATTTTCCCTGTTTTAATTTCATGGATTTCAAATATGTTGCTTTCCTTGCCTCTATATTAATATTTTTCTTAAACAAAATACCATCCATTTGGTTTCTTCCTCTGCCCCCTGCAGATGATCTATCTGGCTCGAAATGCCAAGGATGTTGCAGTGTCATACTACCATTTTGACTTAATGAATAATTTGCAACCCCTTCCTGGAACCTGGGAAGAATATCTGGAGAGATTCATGGCTGGAAATGGTAGGTAGGCTTTGGCCTAAAATTGATAAGTAATTAAAAATTTTTCAATAATGCCATTAAGTCTTATTATTTTACTAATACTATTAACTTCCTTTCAAAACACTCATTTTTCACAAGTCAGTAACAATTTTTAGTAATGCCATTAACTCTTATTATTTTACTAATACTATTAACTTCCTTTCAAAACACTCATTTTTCTCATCAGTAACAAGTACATTCAAATACCATCTAAAAAATTAAATTAAATATGTCTAATTTCTTACCATGACATTCAATATATAAACCTAGTATTAAACATCGATTTAATAAAAATATTCTCTAACCCCTTTTCAGTTGCTAGAAATCTATTCTCAGTTTCTGCTCACAATAGAAATTATTTACTTTGCCCAACCCATTAGTATAATCTGTAATATACATATTTATATTACTTAGATAAATGGTTGATATGAATACTTAATTAAAGTATAGTTTCTTTCCATGTGAGACTAAGCATAACCTATTGAAGGTCAATGTACTTTCAACTGAAATGCTTCCTTACACTATATTTTTGAATCTGATTGTTTATAAATTCATATTTGGTCGGAATATATTGAAATTGGCCTTATATTCTCAGTTTTCTTGATTATTAAATTTCATAAAAAGCTTGTACAATTTTACTTATTTAAAATAAAACAAAAAACACTTTAATTTCATGAATGCTTATGGAAACGTAACTATTTTTCTGGTTTTAGTGGCCTATGGTTCCTGGTTTAATCATGTTAAGAGCTGGTGGAAGAAAAAAGAAGAACACCCAATACTTTTCTTGTACTATGAAGATATGAAAGAGGTAAAATGGTAGACATTCATTTGCATAATTTCTCACTACATCCTGGGGTAAAAGGATTAATATAAAATTTTCGACTTAACCTATGGAGTGCAAAATGATATGATTGCTTTTCCTATTCTTCATGCCTACCTAATCAAATCTTCTTAAGATCATTAAAATAGGTTTCCTAATAGTGAAACCTATTTTTATTCCTCTTATCCTTTTTAACCATTGTATTTATTTTGAACACCTTTCTTTCTGAAATTTTCTCCTTCACTTAACAGGTTATCACATTCACATGGTTTTTCAGTGGACCTCAATCTATCACTTAGTCATTTTTCTTTCTAAACTGTTTGCCATATTTTGGTGCTCATGTCCATGCCCACTGTAGCCATACTATTAATGAACTATTGACACCCCCCCAAATGAACTTTATTTTAACTTCTACACTGAATTCAAAGACATGTTTTATTAAAATGATTTTCAAATTTAACATGTTCAAAATTAAACTCATCTTGCTTCTTTCTCTCCAACATGCAATCATTTTCTTTTTTTATTCTATCTTTTGGTTAATGATGTTACTTGTCCATTCAGTTTTCAAAGCTTGTAAGTAAATGGTCCACATTACTTTCTATATAGTGGATATAGTTTAATTTCATCCTGGACATCCTGTTGGTTCACATGCCATATCTATTACATCCTTCCGACGTGCTCACCTCCTTTATTTTCTTACTACCTCCCTCTTAGTCATCAACTCGTAAGCATTCATCTAGTTTCCTGTAGTAACTAGTATTAGTTAAAATACTGCTGCAAAGTTCCAGGCCTATTCTAGGGCTATCTTACTTAAATTAAGCAAAGGTGCAGGCATGTGTGAACAGACACATGGGAAATATGTGGAAACCAAGTTTCTCTCGTTCTAAAAGCCTGGGCAAAGAAATGAGACTATTATTTAGACTGTCAGGTTCATTCTTATAACTGCATTCATAGTACCTAATACAATACCTACCACGTAAGTAAGGGCTCAATGGTCATTTGCTGTATGAATAATTAATTGCCTGAATGAATGAATAAATAAATGAGTGAGCAGTAACAAGAAACATTTTAGTGACAATCCTACTTTGCATACCAGAAATCATGCCCCAGGTAAAATCTCCCTTGCTCCACGTATTTGTGATTAACCCCCAGATTATTTCTCATATTTTATCAAAAAGAGTCGTCTGTGTTTCTGCTCTGCATAGGCTCCCACACTCTGTCACACTTATTTGCAGCCCATACAGAATCTGTGGTCTAAATCTTACCAGCATTTCAGGCAATTAATGTCAAGTTGTTGGCATACACAGCTATAAAACGAAAGTGGTTTGGATTAATCAGATTAAATTGTGAATTCTTTATGGGAGAAAAATGTTCTTCTGTTCCAAATATCTCTCTTCCTGTTCGCGTGAGTAGTGTTTGTTAGCTTTATGAAAAAGACCAATTTTAGCTTCTTACTATAATCCCTTTTCTCCACAGAATGGAGAATAGGCTGATCTGGGCTGGTATCCAATTCTGAGTCACACATAATTCTGTCTTCCACATGATGCTCTCATATCAAACTTTTTTCTTTATTCAGCTAACGTGCCTTATTCAAATCAACTCATTTATATTGATTTACAGTGTAGCCTAATTAGCTTTATAAGCACATCCTCTGAATTCTACTCAAATCTATATAGATCATAATTTTAAAAGAATGTTTAAAAAAAGAGAGAGAGAATGTTTTTCTATGGCCATACAGATATTCTTAGACAAAGAGGTTTAATATAACAATATTAGAGAAAAATTGTAATTACATACCAAAAATAAAAATTCAGAGAGAAGCCTAATAATTTACACCAGGTTTATGAGTGTCTACATAAAATCTCAATTTTCTCTAATATGAGGTGACAGAAATGTAGCAGGGGAAGACTCAATAGGAGTCAACACTCTGTACTTGAACTTGTACTGGTTTATAAACTAACATTATTATTGATACTTTGGCTGTGGCCAGATAGATTATTCTCTAAACATTTTGAATCTCTAATAGAAACTGCTTTCTATTTGCCTGTCCATCTGTGAGTTTTCCTGGTACTACTACTAACTTTTCTTTTGGCTCTTTCTCCACTATCATAATTTCTGACTTTTCACCCATTCTAAGCATGGCCACCCTTTAATTAGTCATTTCATTCTTCTCTCATCAAGATCTCAAGCATAAAATTTTACCATAAATTCCCTTCTAGGGAACTCCCTGACAAAACATACACATGTGTCTACATGCACGCACACACACACACACACGCAGAGTTAATAAGACATATTATTAAAAGTAGTTTCTTTCTTTTGGCATTACCGATACATCCAAATCCTTCAAGAGGACATCCATGGATATTCTCAATTTAAATCTATCTTATCTTTCCAGGATGATAGCCTCTGTCACTCCTACAAACAACTCAAATCTAACTTCAACCATTTCGTGTTTTTTCTCCCTTGAACACACTACGAGACACTAAAACCTCCACAAGTCTTACCTTTTTCATTATTGGAAATTCACTGTCTAGCACCTCAAAAAGACCACACATCTTGGTAAATTCTGACTCACCTTTTAACACTCAGCTTAGATATCACCTCCTCAAATTCTTTCTAAACCTATCCATGCAGGTTATTGTGGTGTCCTAAAAAGTTATAGATACTAAGTTTATGTCATTAGAATCTGGAAAATGATCCATTTCTCAGATTTATACTTTTTATCCTAAATTATTAATGAATAATTTAAATTTTGATATCTTTGCTCATTTATTAGAGTTTATTTTTAATAACATGTTTAAGTAAAGTCTAATCATTATTTATATTTTAGCATAAACATACATGAAGTCCACAAATTTATTATTTTTTTAAATTATTGTTACTAAAAACAAGAAAGAAATTTTTATTAAAAGCAGAAAAAGGCAGAAAGAATGAAAACATAATGGGTCTCTAAAATATGCACAGTTCAAATCTGATCACAAATTGAGCTTAAAATAGCTCTTAAGATTGTTTTCTTCCTATAAATATTGTTAATATTTAGCCCAAAGTTTGTTCTCATTGTACTTTAAATGTAAACTAAAAATATATTGATTTATAACAAACAATAAAACATTTCTACTCTATTTTTGCTAAACATAAATTATTAATTTTTATTTTTATCATTAATTTTTAAAAATTATTAATAGATCCAACCAAATATGCATTTAATATTCCAAAATGAACACGTATGAAAACAGTTGGCAAATATTATTGTTTTTTACACTGTTTAACATTTTTTTGAATATGTCTCTTTACCCACTAATAGAATCCGAAGCAGGAAATCAAGAAGGTTGCTAGTTTTCTAGAGAAAAACCTAACTGATGAGATCTTGAATAAAATCATCCATCACACCTCATTTGCAATGATGAAGGACAATCCTCTGGTGAATTATACACATATACCAAGAACAGTGATGGATCACAGCAAATCCCCTTTTATGCGCAAAGGTGAATATTTTTCTGAGTTTAATTTCCCTTTCTGCTTTCTTGTGCATTACTCTGACATGAGTGAGGATCACTTTGTGATCTCTATGAAATTACTTATCAGTTTGAGCATACACTTCCTCATCTGTAAAATAAGGACGCTAAAAATACTGACCACGAAAAGTTGCTGAATCAGATTAGAAATTATTAAAGGAAATAATGCATGTAAACCTATTATCAGCATATCCTGAGCATTTGATACATATTTCTCCTCTTATTTATTACCCTGCTAAATGGGAATAGTCTTGTCATTTCTGATATGAATTATTTAAAATTTGTTATATCTAAATCCTCAATCTTTGTCTAAATTGGTATAGGCCCCTTCTCAGTGATAAACTAATGTCACTCAGTACAGTACCATATTCTTTAAAGTCCCCATATTATTTAGAAAACAGTGGTCACTTTGTTTAAAAAAAAAAAAAAAGATTCACCAAGAGAAAGGACAATTGTTTTACCCTCTGAGAAGTTTTTGCTACCTAAAAATACAGTCTGAATTATAGAAAACATGGAATCTGAATTTAACCTGGGAAGATGACAGTGGAGAACTATGACATTCACTGTGGAAATACAGCTTTACTTCCATTGTGGCTTGCTGTATATAATTTGTGTTAAAATGTTTTATTAATGATAAAAATAATGCATTTAACAACTTATTAACTTAAACAAATTTAAGAAATTATTCACCTAATAATGCCACCCTCTGTTTTCAATATTCTTTACTGAATTGAAGGGAAAGAGGTAGAGTATTAGTTGATGCACTGGGATATTTTTTTAAATAATTTTTTTCTTTATTGAGTTTATAGAGAGAGGAAGGGAAAGGGAGAGGGAGAGAGGTAGAAACATTGATGAGAGAGAACATTAATTGTCTATCTCTTGCATGTTCCCCAATGGGGATTGGGCCCACAACCCGGGCATGTGTCCTGACTGGGAATCGAACTGGCGACCTCCTGGTGTATGGGTCAATGCTCAGCCGCTGAGCCAGACTGGTGCACTGGGAATTAAACATAACCCTAGGAATATGTTGGGTATAGGAACATGTGGAAGAAAACACTTAATTTTGAAAGAGTTATATGGTTAAATTTTTTTGTAAAACATTTTTCTCCATAACTTCTTAAAATGAAAAATAGTTTCAGTGTTTTAAAATCATTTTTTATTTTCAAAAACACTATATTTAACTTTTCAAAAATAACCTCTAGTATAAGAAGGCAAAGGAAATTTTTCATTGTAAATGGTGCGTTACAAGTTTGAACAAAGGAAACTAATAATACGCACTCGCACATGTTCTGATGGAAGACTCAGAAAAAAATCCTTATAAACAAGGCAAATTGTTATGCCAGGTCATTGACTGAAACTTCTAGGAAACTTTTATCCCCAGTCATGAAAATTGTTACCATCGCATGATCCTCATCAGGGTATATAGTAGGGAAGATAAGCTCAGTATCCGAATTATATGGTTTCTTCACATTCTGCCTGAAAGAATGCATGCTGATCCAGTAAGAGATAGTTTTCACATGCCCTCAGAAATGGTAAAGAACATGTCCTTTAAGGTCAGATTGATCTGGAATTTATCCAGACTATGCCAGTCCCTGAATTTATGACTTTCAATACATTAATCTGCCAAAACTCTCGATGCATCACTGAAAATATGGAGAAAGTACTAACATCTATGAAACAGGTTTTGGGGGAAGTTTATGGTAAATGATATGTAAGCATTTGGAATAGTTTTCTGATCCTAAGTAATACATTAAAAAAATAGTAAGTCTTATTAAACGATTCAAGATTCCACTATTATTTATTCATTAATTCATTCAACAAACATTTAAAGAATACACACTCATTCGTTAATTCAATGTAGGAATTACTCGTCACGAACACCTGTACGCAGCACATATTCTCTAGAATACGCAAGGTTGAACGGCACATGCATCTGCCTCAGGAGGCTCATAATGCAAGGCAGTAGGCATGCAGGTAAGTGGGTGCCATAAAGGGCTCAAAGTGAAATGACCCGTTCAAGTCTTGAAGGATGTTATGTTGGATAAATCAGTGTTATAATTTAGTTACACAGTAGTAAAGGTAGTAGGGACAGGATAGATGATATCCACTATTAATACCTGTGCACCAAATTGCAACAAAACAGAAAAATCTGGGCTTTGGCAGCATTTATTGTGTGTATATATATATATATATATATATATATATATATATATATATATATATTTTATATATATAAAATCTTTATACTTTCTTTATTCTTATAAAGCGAAAGTGTTTGTGTGTGTTAATTTATATTCAAAATAGAAGATCATTGGAGTACATTATATATGACACTTTACTGTTTAAATCTGTGCTCTCTGTTTTTAACATCTTCATGGATATATTATCCAGAATATACACTACCCTTACATACATTCCTAAGAGTTCTTGCCATCTGGTAAACATAGAACAAAGTATAATAACCAGGGAAACAACCTAGGTGGATGTCTTTCATTAAAAGGATTTGAAATCTTCCTCAAGCCATAAAAAGGTAATATTGATTAGAAGTTAATAGGATATTTAATATTTCATAAAATAACAAAGTAAATATTTTCTCCAAGCACATTGGCAGTACATTAAAATTTATTTTTTCAAATAGTTATAAGCATCCAAGTATAAGAAATTAAATAAATTTATATCACAAAAGTTTACTTTTGTACAAATCATTCAGGGATGTTATGTTTGATGCTGTTCTTTTCATGTAAAATGCAAGTACAATATAAGTCTGGTGAACTTAGAAATAACAAGTGTCCTCCAAGTATCATACCATCCTCATTTACGCATCCTGGGAACTGATACTTGTCAGCTTTTTATTTGATGGTTTGGTTGTGCTGATAAACACTCCTTTGTGCAGTTTTCAAAAGTAGCTCATGAAATAAAATATGCCCTGACCAGTGAGTGTCCAGTTGTAACCCCATGACCCAGGAAAATTAGAAACTCTGAAAGAAATTCTTTCAGGAAACTACGCATTGTACAGACGATACATTTGGACAAGAAAATTAACCCTTCTCAGAATGTGTCTGTAAGTGTCAGACTCTATAGTGATAAGCCAACCTTTAGATGGGAGGAATTAACAGTAAAAGAGAAATGACATTTTAAAGTATTCAAATACAAGGAAAGTCTTTCTTTAACTTTTCCAACCTTTTCTTTTGATATATGTTCTCTTTTCCTTCATAGTTCAAATATTTTATTCCTTCATACGTTTTTGTATTTCTTATTTTTAGGGATTGCAGGTGACTGGAAGAATCACTTCACAGTGGCCCAAAATGAGAAATTCGATGCCGTCTATGGGAAGGAAATGTCTGGAAGTACACTTCAGTTTCGCACAGAGTTTTAAAGAACCGATGCTGCAAATCTGAGCGAACTGGCCTGTAATTTGTTGAAACAGGGGCACTATGACTTGACTTGGGCAGTCAAATGGGTTTTTAAAGGAGCAAATGTGCTTTTAAAACTTTAATTTTTCAGTGTCGTCAATCAGTTCCCAGCTTTGCTCTTGACGCTGAGCCTCCAAATTCTGTCAAGTTAAGGCCAATCGTAGACTGTTCTTGCCTTTTCCTAGACTAGTACTGCCAAGACAGTATTTATCCTACCCAATCTTCATATATTTTGGCTTAAAATTAAGTTTTCCTCCCTATTAACATGGCCCAAGAAATGTTTGCACACCGACGCCACATTTCCTAGCTCTGCCCCGATTTCCCTTTGCTGAAACCTTGATCCTGGACACACTGGTCCTCGGCTGTCTTCCGAGTTTCACGTTGTTCCCTGAGTCATAGCTCATATTCTTGCAGTGTCTCTATTTTGATAACATGGCTCATATCCCAAAATCATGAGGTTTGGATTTTGGAAATGTTTATATCCTTTATCTGAGTATCCAAATTTCTAATTTCTGAGTATCCAATTTCTGAGTTTCCAAAAGTGAAAGGTCAACATTAGTCTCTCTTGGCTTCTTCCCTGGGAACTGGACCTACTCTGAGAAGCTGACTGAAGGCTGGAACCCGTTTCCTGGGGAGAGTCCTTCCCGGATTTTTCCAGCCTCTTCAGAACCTCTGAGAATTGCCTATTGTTGTGCTCTGGTCTCCACTGAACTCCAGTTTATTTCCTCTTGTGTCTGAACAGGTTTGGATCCCTTAATAGCACCTACAGTACCCCAATAAAGATCATAGCTGAGGCTAAAATTCCCCAGTCTGGTGTCTAAGAGATGCTCTCTAGGCTGACTCTACTGTGCCCTATATACCCAACGACCCTCTGTCTACTATCTCACATTGTGTCTCTCTTCAATGCATGGTTCCTTGGAACATTTGTTTCTCAAGTCCAGCTTCGCCTTGGAGGTAATTATTTCTCTCTCCCTGTGCAACAAGATCGTTTGCCTGCAAGTCATATCTGCATGTGCCAAATCAAATGACAAATCCAAATTCCGAACTCAAGCTTGGTTCAAGTGCCCTGGGCCCTTACTTGTTCTGGGAGGAGTTCTGACACATAGCAGATCCCCTGAGCCGCCACTGAGATGGCTACAGTGTCTTGGGTTACAGTCAGCCTCTGCACCTGTAATCGCTCCTCAAGTTTGTAACTTCTCTCCCAACCCCAGCAGGGACTGATCTAATGCCAACTGTAAATCTCCTAGGAGTGATGTATCTACGATTCTGGAGATAGCTGTTTTGACATTTCTTATCTATCATATGTATGATAAATCATTTCATGGAATGAAATTTGTGTGTATGTTTCTTAGAAACATGTTTAGTTAACCTTGAATGCCTAAGGGTATTGTGAACCGGTTTCAACTTTCTAGAATACTCTTGCCAACAAGGAAGTAAAGTCCATCATGTATCCATTTGCTTTATTATCTTTATTAATAGTAAGTTAATGTGGTATGGACTTCGAATGTTATGGTCTATTTTTGAAAAAAAAAAAAATTAAACATCTCTGAACCAGCCTGGAAGCTGTGTAATAGGCTGGCTGCACTAACTGCTTTTACTAGCAGGATGAACTCATTTCCACTTTCTGTCGGTTTCCTTTGTGGAAATACATCTCTGTAACTGAACTTTATTAAAAAAACTTGAGCGAGCTTTGGCTGTGCTCCAGGTAGTTTCCTAGGCGCTGGGGATAGAGTGGAGAAAAGAGTAAAATTTAGATCATCTATTACCTTTATTGCCTCTTATCTATTTTTTCTGTTCTAAAATATTTTTTATTTATTTATCTTTAGTGTTGAAAGTATTACAGATGCCCCTCCTTTTTTGTCCCATTGACCCTCTCCACCCATCTTATCCATTTAAAAGTCTCTGATTCAAATGGCAACACCTTGGTTCACTCACTCCTCAGCTTATGCTTCACACCGCACAGTAGCACACCCACCAGAATTACAGCTTTAAAAGTACCGGATATCTTTTGAAATCATTCAGAGAACTGCCAACAAATTAATTTTCCCGATACAATAAATTTATTATTATTTCTCCTTTTCAGCAATCGTTGGTATAATTTTCAAACAAAACCACTTAGATTAACCTCATTCTATTTTTCTCTAACTGTAGCAAGGAAGGGCAGTGATAGCAAATATCTGCCAGTGATGCAATTACTCCCTCATCCATGGCACCTCGTTAATCAGCTGAGGGAATCAGTTTTCAAGAAGCCAAAGTATGGCTTAAAAAATCTTTTCATCATGACATTCAAAGCAAGTACTAGAACTTGTTTAGAATACCTGTTGTGACAGGCATCTATTGTGAATCTTTGTCTTTTATTAGTAAAAGGGAAAGAGCCAAAATACTCCCAAGTGTGCAGTGTCTTGGATTGTCCTTGAGTGTGATGCTTAAACTTTAGAACAGGAAGTAAATGAGATTTTAGTTTTCTCATCTGTAAAATTAAGTAATTGGTTGTGTTTCTTCCACATTCTAAAGTTCTCTGGCTATATTTGCTTTCTGCATCGTTTGTAATTAAACTGTTTTCACATGTGTAAGCATGTACACATGTAAATATGCAAATATATGTATGTGTGTATACATATTGGTTCTGTTTCTTTGATGAATACACTACATATTCTAAACTTTATTGCTCTTCTATGTTTTCATGAAAGTTTTGGATCAAGTTATTTGATCATTCTCAGTTACTGTATAAGTAGTATGAACTTCCAATAGGTTAGTAGTTAAAGCTATATGATTCCTTCGCCATAACTCTTCTATCAGGTAGTGTGAAACAGTCTCACAAAGCATTCAGCCTCATATGCCAACATCTATTAGCAAGGAGGCCGAAATATGGCCATGTGATCTTGTTCTCTGCCCTAGTAAGCACTTTATCATACTTGTCATGAAAAATGCTCCTGAGTGAGATGGAAAACTGTACTTAACAGTAGTGGGAATCAGGTGGCCAGGTCAGAATTATAATGCTAGGACATCATTCTACTTTCTGGTGATCTTAAAAGTTTAGCTTGTAGTGCCTTTAAAAGAATGACAAAATGACTTTACCAAGACTTATATAATCATTAATTACTAATGTTAAATTTTCACTTAAAGCAAATTATTTAACCTAATAAACATTTCAACAGTTGGGAAAATTGAAGTGCTATTAATTAATATATACAGTTTCCAATTCATTATTGTGTGCTTTAAATAACTTTCTTTAAACCTTTGGTATTTATAACAGCATATTCAATCTTCCACTTATATTTATTGGTAATATCACTCCATATTATCACATGAGTTAGATCAGATTTATTTATTTTATTTTTTAACTTTTTGTTTTATTCTCATCCAAGGATATTTTTCCATTGACTTTTAGATAAAGTGGGGGAGAGAGAGAGAAATATCGATGTGAGAGGGACACATTGTTTGGTTGCCTCTTGCACGACCTCGACTTGGGCTGGGGATCGAACCTGCAACTGAAGTACATGTCCTTGACTGGCAATCAAACCTGCAGCTCTCTGGTCTCGGGGCCAATGTTCTAACTGCTGAACCAAAACAGTCAGGGCAATCAGATTTATTTTTATCAGCATTTTATTATTTCACAGACAATGAAGGACATTCATGTAAATTCAGACAGGTGGTAAGATTCTACAATATTAATAATCCATCTTCAATATCATAGCTTCTCCTTTTCAGAACTTGCATAATTATAAACCAATCACCTTAACACTTTTTGGATACATTGAAGACAGTATCAAGTGCTCTGGAGTTCTAAGGACAGTATATTGGTCAGCATTAAACTTGACCCTTTAAAGAAAAAATTATACCCAATCAATTTTAATATCTAGTACTTGAACAGGCTTGAAGAAAAAGAGAAATGAATAGATTTGCCATTTACTAGACCTCAGTTATAATTCTATTTTCATCATCTAATCTTATTGGCAGTTAAGTCCAGAGGTTTATGGATCATACTGCAAGGAATTCCTAGAGTCTGTAAAGATTCCTCCAGAGTCTGCCAAGGGACTGGAGATATGACAATAAAGGTGATGGCATTTGCCCCCCTCCCCTTCTTGTTTCAAGTAAACCAGTTGTGATTTTTTAAAATAAACTTTTTATCTAGAACAGCTTTGTATTTGTAGAATTATTCCCAAAATAGTAAAGAGGGTTTCTGGGTACCACATACCCAGTCTCGCCATTATTAATATTTTGCATCGATATGTACGTTTGTCACAGTTAATAAACAAATATTAATACATTACTATTAACTACAGTCCAGACATTATTTAGATTTTCTTCATTATTCTATAATGCCATTTGTGTTCCAGGATCCCATTCAGGGCACCACATTACATTTAATCATCTTGTCTTCTTAGATTCCTCTGCGGTGTGAAAGTTTCTCAGACTTTCCTCGTTTTTGATAACCTTGACATTTCTGAGAGTTAGCTATTTTGTAGAATATCCTTCATTGGGGATATATGTGATATTTATCTCATGATTATACTGGGATAATTTGTTTTTGGGAAAAAGACTGCAGAGTTAAAGTACCATTCTCATCACATGACATCAAGAGTATATACTAACTATATGATTTATCACTGTCGATGTTGACCTTGACCACCTACTTTAAGTAGTGTTTATCAGGTCTCTCTACTACAAAGTTACTTTTTGTTTTTCTTTCCCTTTCCATATTACATACTTTGAAAGAAAATCACAGCCTATAGTTTACACTTAAGAAGGAGAGAGTAGTGGTTTACCTTCTGAAAGATGGGGTATCTACAGAAATTCTTTAGAATTATTCTGGGAGATTTTTTAAATTCTCCACTATTTATTTATTTTTATTTATTAATTTAATCAGTAAGGACTTATGGATATTTATTTTGTACTTTTGGCTATAAATCAACAATACTGTATTTTCTTGCTCTAATTTTTCCAGTTTTGTCCATCTGGAGCTTTTTAGTTTTCTGTTCCATGTTGTTAGCTGACTTCAAAATGTATATCTATTTTGCAAATTACTGAGAGTCATAGAACTTTTTGACTTCACTAACATATGTGTCAATTGTATAGTG